TCTAATTCATTATATATCATTTCCCAATACCCTTTTACCCTTTTACAAGTTCACCACATATGATAAAACGTACCCTCAACTTCATTACATCTCCAGCACTTATCTGATTCAGACCAGTTTTTATTTTTAGCTGCTGGTTTCCTACTGCATTTGGTTTCCTGCTGCATTAGTTTTTAGGGCTACGTGATCTCGTTTTAGTTTTTGTTCGACACCATCTACAGAACTCGTGCTGTTGGTGGGCATACAAATATCATAAAACACAGCAAAACAAACCCTGCTACTTCAGTGCCGTTCACATGGGGACTGCCTCTGAAACTTCAATCAGTTAAACAACGCAGTTAGGATGTTAACTGGGACCTAGCCACATGAGATTTATCCTACCCAGTGTTAAAGCTATCCCACTGCCATCCTGTGTGTTTCCGGGCACAGTTCAAAGCGTTGGTGTTAAACCTATAAAGCTCTTGATGGTTTGGGGATAGGACCACTTGCTCCCAAGTGAAGTTGCCCGTTGCTCAAAATCATCTCTCTAGGTCTACCTCTGGGCTCTTTTATGTTTAGAGCAGAGATTGGGGACTGGTGGCCCTCAAACTGCAGCTGTACTACAACTCCTATCATCCCTGCCCATGGACTATGTCAGCTGGAGCTGATGGACTTGAGAGTCCGAGACAAAGTGCAGTGCCAGATGTTCCTATTCCTGCTTTAGAGGCCAGGTGGGTGACCAGCAGGAACAGGCCCTGTGGCATCCTGTTCATGGACCTCCCTTCCTTCCCAGAGAGGTCTTGCCTGGAAACTACTCTTGTGCTTTTTCAGTGCTGCCAGGCTAGCATAGTTTTCTTTGCTCAGGCTTTTAAGGAACACTTAAGATAGAAACACAGATTAGAAGGGACCCTGAGGATCACTAGTCCAGGCTTCCTCAAACTCGGCCCTCCAGAAGTTTTTGGCCTACAACTCCCATGATCCCTAGCTAGCAGGACCAGTGGTCAGGGATGATGGGAATTGTAGTCTCAAAACATCTGGAGGGCTGAGTTTGAGGAAGCCTGACCTACTCCAACCCCCTGTAACACAGGAATACGCAGCTGCCCCATACAGGGATCGAACCTGCAACCTTGGCATTATCAGCACCATGCTCTAACCTATCTGAGCTATCCAGGCTGATGGTACGTTGATGCTGCTTACATTTGTTCTTAATTGCTACTTCATGCTGATTTTTGTTCGTTTCATTGCTATTTTGGTCTTTGTGTATGTCGTTTACTTTTTTAAAGATGAATCTTCATGATCAAGGGTTAGGACATAAAATGCCCAAAGTGAGTAAGAAAAGAGGAATCAAAACCTAGAGTGGCAGTGATTTTACACCAGTGCTCAAAGGCAGAGGGAGCGCTTTCTTGTGATGGGCCTCTTAGCTACTATTTTGAAGGCTGTTGGGGGCATGGTTTGGCTAATATTGGGGGGCTGGATCCACAGTTGAGGCCTGTGGATTTCATTAAGGGCTTCTGCTTTTCTGCTCATAATTTCAAGCAGTTTGGAAGACCTCCACATTTCAGGTAATGCCAACGTACTGCCATCTGCCTTATTGCAGGGCAGATTTGAGGGTAAACCATATGCGGAATGAGTCTGTCCTTGCAGCTTGATGGAGGTAGAAACTGTCTCTCATGCCTTGTTACAATGTCGATGTCGTTTCTACAGGGACATTTATCACCCCTGCTATGCAAAAGTCTTCAAATGGGTCCGAACTCCAATGTTTAAAATCTCTGGTAGAGGACAAAGATCCAGAGATCATGTTAAAAGTGGCCAAATTCTGTGCGATTGCCATAAAACTTCGGGAAAAAGCTGTGATATCATCATGATTAAGGTTTTAAATAACAATTTCAGGTTATATTTTAATGAGTAAGATTTAATTTATATATTTTAATTGCTGCTATATCTGTACTGTCCCTGTTATACCAAACTGCAAATTTAAATGTATTCCTATTGTGTTTCATGACTTCCCTGATTTTGTATGTGAGCTGGAACTGGTCTGTGACCAAAATAATAAATTCATTCATTCATTTCAGGTAATTCTCCTTTGCTGCACAGTCCAATCTCCTGTTTTATAATTTTTGCATCCACGCACAGAATCAGTTGGAGTAGGTGAAAAGAAAGTAGTTGCAACATTTCCCCATGCTTAAAGGGAATACTTCACCTGTTGAAATTCTGCCTGCAGTTGCAGAAGACTCAAAAGGCAGGTCAAAGGGGGGAGGGCGAGGAAGGCACCCCTACCTGAGTCTCTTCTGAATCTCATGGGTGTCAAACTGCACTGAATCAATTATCACCTCTTCTCTCCTCACTAACATGCCATTTCACTCCAGGTCTTTGAAAAAGAGGCTTCGGCTTGTTTATCTCCAGTTCTGACTAGCCCAGCAAGATGGTTCTTATATGTCAAGAAGCAACTTCAGGAGGTGATGATAGGGAAGCCAGTTACACCTAGTCTTGTAGCAATTAATAGTGGAGATGAAAGCACAACATTTGTCCTTCGGAAGGGGAAATCAACATTTTATCACCTGCCTCTTTTTCTCCAGCCCACCCCTCCAAAAGAAAAGCCCCTTCCTTGTCCAATAAGGGGATCCTCCTGTTGCACAGAAAGAATCAGGTTCCTATCTTCAAATAGCAAAAATAGATGCACAGCATCAAGAGAACTTGCCTCTTGGATTCTGTTGTAAACCAAAAGTTGAGTCTTATGTCTTTCACCTGTTCAGTAGTTTTCCATGGGCTGCATTCAGCTAACATTTACCCAGAGCAGAAATTAATGGACTTAAGTTAATCATGGGCATTCATTTCAATGGATCTACTCTGAGTAAAAGTTAGTTGGCTACAATGCTATGCTATGTAAAACTAGCTTGTATTAGCTGCCAGATGGAGATATTCTACAAGTACCTTTTCTACTAGGAGAAGGCAAGCTTTCTTGATTTGGCAGCAAGTTTCATAAAATTCGCTTGTAAATGAGCCTGAATTTTTTATATATGCTAGATTTATACAACGCCAAAAAGTCTGGAGGCTTTCAGTGTATGGAAGAAGGAATCGAAGGTTATTTTGTCTCCATGCTGCTGACCTTCCCAGACCCCTAATGATTTCTGCATATATAAAGACTCCCTAGAGCTACACATTACTTTTTATTTGTTCCAGTGCAGCCTTTAAGGGTCAGTATTTACATACTGCAGAATGGGGTGGGAATGAGGTGAAAGTGTCTTGAGGTGATAGGATGGGCAGTGCAGGCTCAGACTGCAGATGTGGAATCATTAAAAACACACACACTGCAAGCAGAAAATTAGCCCCCCTGTAAGGTGACCATGTCTCCTACTTTGCAGTTCTCTGTTTCAAGGTGTCTTCAGTTTGAAAAGATGGTCCATAGGAAGGAAAAGCAGGGATCTTGAAGCTGCCAATTGAGAGCAATCAATCCAGGCACGCTTGGTCACAGTCTTCCCCACCATGGAGAGATGCATTATTTTTTCCTGTTTAAATGATAGCAATTATTTATAAAAGAGCATCTTTTATCATAGGCAGTTTTTATGCAAGCCTGCAACCTCTCATGACATCTTTTTTGGCGATGCATAAGTGGCCATCAATTGTCAAAGAATGGACTAGGCTAGAGCTACCTCAGATATGCCAGTCCCAGGTAGGTTTTCATATTGATTGATTGCAGTTAGAGTGCAGAATTAGGACTGGGAAGACCCAAGTTTAAATACTGACTCAGCCACGAAGCTTGCATATCTGGACTGTGGCAAATCTCTCAGCCAAATCTACCTCACAGGGTTGTTGAGAGGATGGAACTGAATGGGTGAGAGAGGGAGCCGTGAATGCTGCCTTGGGTTTCCTTGAAGGTCGGGGGTTGGACTAAATGACCCTCAGGGTCTCTTCCAACTCTACGATTCTATGATTTCGGCCTTGTCCACACTTCCACTTCTCTGGTGCTTAAGCTGGCCAGCGATGAAAGTAGCTGTACTCCAACAACATCCCAGAGTTGAAGAACACCGATAGACAGATATAATGTACACACGCCAGCAATTAAGATTTTGCCACCCTAGACTCTAGGCTTTTCCAATATGGAAAACTAAGGGCAAGTGCATAGTTCAGGTTCAGAAATGAAGTGCTGTGTATGCAGAACTTTGGCCAAATGCGAATGTTGAATTTTCTGATATTTGCTGCAGAAAAGATGAAATATATCTTTCTTTCTTGGAATCCTGTGAATTAGGGGCTTTGGCAGACTGTGAGTCCTTTCGGATGAGTGTTAATTCTGTGATCTGGATTTACACTTTCTGAGGAATATCTGGTAAGTTTAAAGAAAACCTGTTGCACATGATCCCTGTGTGATATCTCAACAACCTGTTTATAATATTTCACCCCTGCCTAGAAGCATCCTAAGCCCTGCGCACTCAAAGGTTTCTCTCAATAACCACCAATGAAAGAGTCATTTCTGTCATTCTAGGAAACCAGCAGGCTTTGCCCCTCTTACAAGGGTCTGAAACATTTTTTCTGTGCTCCATGCCCATAACTTGGCAAAGAAATTCACAGGGAATCTCTTTTTTCTAGCCAGCTTATCTATTTATCATCTATCTATCTATCTATCTATCTATCATCTATCATATATCTATCATCTATCTATCATCTATCTAGCTATCTATCATCTCTAATCTCCTCAGAAAAATGTTTGCTCAGCCATTATTTACATTGCTGAAAAGGGGGAAGATGGATTTGTGAATGAGTCTGAACTCAGGACTTGGCAGAAAAAGGAAAAGAGTCATTTTCATGAGTGAGTCATTCAGGAAGTGAGTAACAGTGAGTAAAGGCAGCCTTCAGGCCAGACTTTTACACCGTTCTGTTCTGGGAGGTGTTATGGGGTTCCACTGCTCTGCTCTGGGGATTCCACTGAAATTTTTGCTGCTGTTGTTTCTTTGTTCCTTGCCAGAGAGGCACCTGGGAGGAAGAAGGAATACTTGAGGTTTAAACTAGCCATGGACTGGATTTGGGGAAGTGGCCGTAGCTCATTGGTAGAGCATGTGCTCTGTGCGCAAAAGGCCACAGTTTCAATTTCTGGCATCTCTAGCTAAAATAGATAACAGGTGATTGGAAAGACTCTGGAGAGTTGCTGGAGAGGAATTTCCCATTCCTACTTTCTTATGTTCTGTCAATTTTCTCATAGCATTCTTTGCCAACCTGGTGCCCACCAGATGCTTCAGACCACGAAGGGTTATGGTCCAAAACATCTGGAAGGGGCTGGCTGGGGTTTCTGGGAGTTACAGTCCAATAACAAAAGGCTGTTCTGAGCATTTGTAGCCAACCCTCCTCAAAAGAGGCCCTCCCATTTTTATCTTCTCAACAATGAGTACTCGAAGTTGCCTTATGAGTCAGGCCACTGACTCACTTGTGACAATGCTCCCTCTTTTGGCTGCCACTGGCTCTAGAACGTCTCAGGTTGTCAGAGGTATTTCCCCAGCCTGCTAACACAAAGCCCTTTTGTGGGATGTGCCCACGCTTGAACATGGGACCTTCCACATGGAAAACATGCATTCTGCTATTGCGAGGGTGGTTCAGAGTACTCTTCCTGCTATCTGGAGTCCTCTATTTGAAGGGCTGTCTAGTCGAAGTCTCGTTTAAGGCTAAAGAACCATAAGAAGAGGGAGTTGGTGCCTTGCTCAGCAGCCTAAGTAGAGTGAGCAGAGGCACAAGTCACCTAGTCAGAGTCTGCTTCCACTATGGTAAGAGGGATTCCATTTCTATTTCCGTTATAGTGCACCTATATCTATATAAATCAGCAACTGGCACTGGCACTGTGTGTCACCTGTTTGGCGGCGTATCAATGACTGTGCAGTCACAATATCAAGTCACAATCTGGAAGCACCCATCATATGAAGCAGAAAATTGTAAGGTGGGAGTTGAGCGGCAATGAGATGCAAAAATTACTGTCAGTGATAATTAGCTTAAATACATATTAAACAGGCACACCTTTAACCAATTTGTAACTGCAAAAGATGTGCCCATCTAACATCTACCCTATTTTTTGCTCTATAAGACTCACTTTTTCCCTCCTAAAAAGTAAGGGGAAATGTGTGTGTGTCTTATGGAGCGAATGCAGGCTGCGCAGCTATCCCAGAAGCCAGAACAGCAAGAGGGGTTGCTTCTTTCACTGCGTAGCGATCCCTCTTGCTGTTCTGGCTTCTGAGATTCAGAATTTTTTTTTTCTTGTTTTCCTCCTCCAAAAACTAGGTGCGTCTTGTGGTCTGGTGCGTTTTATAGAGCGAAAAATGCGGTATTTAAAGCTTTAATAATTACGGACTGTAATTTTTGCATCTCATTGCCATTCAACTCCCACCTCCTATTTTCTCCATTGTCTAATCAGAGTGGAGGTTTCTTTTAGCCTGGTCAGTATCGATATTGGATTCAAAATCATTTTTTTTATAAATGCAACTGCTTTAATTGTGTCTTTATTTTATTGCTGTTTTTATCAAAACATCGCTCTGAGATGTTTTGTAGGAAGCAAGTCATAAATGGAATGGAATGAATAACGTAAACCTGCCTGATAAGATTTCACGTCATGAATCCGAAGAAGGCCTGAGTCTGCAAAAGCTGGTGCCATAATAGCTTTGGTTGGTCTTTAAGATGCCACAAGGATCTTTCGACCATTTTTGCCTCGAAATGGCAACTTGCAAGGCAGCTTGCGTAGTAGACTTTAGACCTCTGAACTGCGCCTCTGTTTGCAGGATGTGCTGACAGAAGAGTGAGCAAGGCATTAATCAGCTGAGAGATTTTCCTACATACCAGCGTTAGCTAGAATGTTATTTACAAAGTGAGGAAGAGGCATGACAGAGAGGGAAGCAGTCTCTCATCCCCTTCTTCCCCATGTATGGATGTGAAGCCAGGGTTACTCAGCAGGATACGGCAGAGACAGAAAGCCCTTTTTGCACTACGGATTTCTCGCAGCTCTTTCTTCCAGGAATGAATCCTTCCCAGGACAGGCTTTTGGGTAAGCCCACATAAGCGGCGGCCCACAAGGCTTATTGCATCAAAGAACCTGAAGATCAGTAGAAGGGAGGTCAGGAGTAGCAAGTCAGTAATAATGGATTGGGAACTGGTAGACTTGGATCCGAACAAACTTTATTCAAGCCCTGCCTTGAACCTTACAAGCTGTGGGCAAGTCACCTGCCAAGCAGCCTAGATTGGCTAGAGTGAAAGGCAGGGAGACCAATACAGTCATACCTTGGATCCCGAGCGCTTTGTGAGTCGAACATTTTGGCTCCTGAATGCCGCAAACCCGGATGTGAGTGTTCCGGTTTGCGAATGTTCTTTGGAACCTGAATGTCTTCCGCAGCTTCTGATTGGCTGCAGATTCCTTTCGACTTCTGAGGTACGACTGAAGTAGGTGAATGCAGAGGCACTGACCGTCAGAGCCAACTAATTTTATTATTCCTGGATGAATAATAATGATGATGATGATGATGATGTCACTTAAACTTGCCCAGGGCGACCCAAAGCAACTTACAATCAACCAACGAAACATACATTAAAACTGACATAGATCCATGAAATCCAAGAGGAAAGAGAAATAGATTAAAAACACCCCAACTACTTCTAAAAGACCATAGATAGTTAAAGGCAAAAGGCCTGGTGATAGAAGAAAGTTTTTGCCTGGCACCTAAAGATATGCAATGATGGTACCAGGCGAGCCTTCCTGGGGAGAGCATTGCACAAATGGGGAGCCACCGCAGAAAAAGCCCATTCTCATGTTGCCAACTTCTGGACCTCTCGTGGAGGGGGCACACAAAGAAGGGCCTCTTGAGAACCAGTGTGGCATAGGGGTTAGAGCATTGGACTAGGACCTGGGAGACCAGAGTTCAAATCCCCACTCAGCTATGAAGCTCACTGGGTGACTTTGGACAAGTCACAATCTCTTAGCGTGACCTACCTCACATAGTTGTTGTGAGGATGAAATGGGGAGGAGAACTGGGTACACCACCTTGAATTCCTTGGAAGAAAAGGGTGATATTTAAATGTAATAAATAAATAATGAACGTCAAGCACACAACGTCCCCCAAAGAATCCTTGAGAGTTGCCGTTTACCCTTCACAGAGCTACAACTCTCAGCACCTTTAACAAACTACATTTCCCAGGATTCTTTTTTGGGGGGGTGGGGAATTAGGTGCTTTAAATGTATGACATATATTCAGGTTAAGAAAACACACTGCAAACGAATTAGCCAGCTCCTTCTGTTCCCACGTAAGCATTCATTACAGCTACCGTCTGAAGGAAGATACCTGTTGCTGGTAAGGCAAGTCACTGCTAAAGAGATCAAAGTTTTTCTTATTTTATTCATTTATTTCATTTACTTGTGGGGTAGATTGGAGGAGGCTTGCCCCTGAGCCCTTAGGGTTTTTGTTGTTGTTGTTTAGTCGTTTAGTCATGTCCGACTCTTCATGACCCCATGGACCAGAGCGCACCAGGCACTCCTGTCTTCCACTGCCTCCCGCCGTTTGGTCAAACTCATGCTGGTAGATTCCAGAACACTGTCCAACCATCTCGTCCTCTGTCGTCCCCTTCTCCTTGTGCCCTCCATCTTTCCCAACATCAGGGTCTTTTCCAGGGAGTCTTCTCTTCTCATGAGGTGGCCAAAGTATTGGAGCCTCAGCTTCACGATCTGTCCTTCCAGGGTGGAGAGGGTTAAAATGAGCAAAGCAAACGGAAGCAATGCGCTCATGTCCTGTTTGCGGACCTCCAAGAGATTTCTGGATGCTGGAGGGAATGGGAAGGAGAAGAGAGGATTTTTGTATGTGCATGCATGTTTCTGTATATGTGTGTTGTTTATGAGCATTTGCCCTTACTGGTCCATCATTATAACGATCAACATTTTGTAGCACTTATATATAACTAGATAGACAAACCTATGGTCTAGCTTGGAATAAAGCAGCTGGTTGCACAATACTGTTTTTCCAAAGCGTTTTCACAAACAGCATTACAGCCATCCGAATTCTTGCCCTATGTAGCAGTCCTGTTTTGGATAACCTGTGAGCTGCGAGCTGCCTTCAAATCCTAGCTTAGAAAACTCCGCTTACTGGTCACTGAACAAACACAGTTACATTCACAATGCACAATGCACTGGATGGACATCTTTGTGGGCAGACTTTGGACCAGCGATCCTACTTATCTTGTAGCCACCAGACTTTACCGCAGGAATGAGAGCAGAAAGGGTGAGGGATTTATCCCCGGCATACAAGGCGCAATTTTGCAAGTGGATTGGCACACACAAGTGCATATTTTATGGCTCTGACTTCTTCTCCGGACTGGGTGGGAAACTTACAGCATGACTCACGCCTCTTTGGTGAAGTTCCTGAATCAATGCATTGTGCTGAGAAGTCATAAATGGAGCGGCCACCTTACAGGGAACAACAACATCCCATGTGCCTTGCCAATAAACTGCTAATGCAATATCATCTGCACACCTTTTTAGCTGTCCAGAGAAGTCAGGTATTGTGGCAATAATGTCTGCTTCTGAAATTCAGCACCTCTTTGTGCATTCCCTTCAACATTTCTCTGATGAAAATAGAAAGAACCCATTCCATAATGATAATTTTACTATTTATACCCCACACATCTTACTGGGTTGCCCCAGCCTCACTGAGCAGCTTCCAACATATGTAAAAACATAATAAAACATTAAACATTAAAAATCTTCCCTATAAAGAATTGCCTTCAGACGGCTCGAGGGTCGGATAACTCCATACCCTCCAGTGAAAATAGGGACATCCTACCACACCCTCCAATATTTCTCCAATGAAAATAGGGACTTCTTAAGGGAAAGTGGGACATTCCAGGATCAAATCAGAAACTGGGATGGCTTCTCTAAAACAGTGACGTCCTTGGAAAATAGGGACAGATGGAGGGTCTGTCTATGTCAGGACAAAGGAACATACTTTAATTCACTTTGGGCTTAGATAATAGGGTTTTATTGCAGTGTGTATTTCAGAGTTAAATGCAGATAGAGTCAAGTAAGTCTGAATTATAAAATTCAGTATAAAAAACTGTCAAGTTCAAGTTTGAACTTATTTTTATTT